TGGCAGATCCAGGTGAAGGCAAGGTCAGTGCACTAATGGTCTGAAATTTCCTGACCACACAGTACCTGTGAGAAACGTGGTTGGGTTATGGCTCCAAAGTGCCAGCAGAATGCTAAGGAAATGTGGTGTCTGGGGTTTTCTGGGGTTTGTGATTTGGGAAGATCAGAACAGTTATATCTTGGGGCATTGCAGCACTGTTAGCCTGTTTTCAGTGATTTACAAGGGAATTATTAATTATTTGCACACAGACTGGTCTCACTGCATCCGTTTTCTAGGAGGTTCAGTTTTACAGGGGAACCACTTCAGTCTCCAACTCTTCAAGCCAAGTGGACCTGTGCATAGTCCTGTACAGGAACTAATGCAAAGGTTTATTAGGGTCTAGCAGCAGCTTAATTGCCTGTGGTTCATTGTCAGGGTTTAAGTGCTACACTTAGTGGAGTTACAATCCTCTAACAAAAGGCATCTCAAAGTCATTATTGTTCTAAAACCTGTGTGGGAATTTCATTGAACTAAGCTCTACCTGGAACCCTCCTGCATCACTTCTTCGTAAACACAAATCTGTTTTTACTTTTCACAAACACACCTCTCCTTTTAACTTTGTGGTTCTGCAATTCCAGCATTTTCACACTTTCCATGTTACTTAGCTGATCTGTTCCTCAGGGTACAAACCTGTATTTTCCTCCTTATTTTTTCCAGTGTTAAGACAAGCCTAGAATCCAGCACCTGTCCCCTCTCTGGGACTTGAAAGCAATCAGTACATTGCAGTTTGCCAATGTAATACATCTGCTCCTTCAGATGACATAGCAGAAAGATACAGAGTGTGTGACATTGTCCTTGGGACAGCTGGAGTGATTACAGATAATGGGATGGCCCTGACCAAAATAACACAAACTGTGTATTTATAGCACACTCCCACTTGTTATTTCATTTACAGTTTTGTTTGGTATGAAGAAGCAACTCCTTGAATATGTTGTGTGAGCAATGAGATATATATATAACTGTCATCAAAGGCTCACTTGCTGCAGCCAAGCACTTAAATACCAAGCTGCTTTGAGATGCCCTTTACAAGAAGACTGGCTGGTTTAGGATGAACTGAATAGGGTTTACAGGATAAAGAAGAGAAAAGAATTAAAAAAACTCACAAGACACAAAAAAAAACCCTCAAACTATAAAAAATAATACCATTCAGGTAGTTAAAGTGTGTGAAAGCAGAGAACTGATTTTAAATGGTTCCTCCTGTCCTGTGTGTGGGGACAGGTGATTTGACTGAGACAATATATGCAATAGATTCACACAGAGGAACAAACCACACCCTATAATTAATACTGCTCTAGAAGCCATTCTTTCTTTCATTGCTCACACAGAGGGTGTTTCATCACCTGGGATTACTTCTTGCCCAAGGAAAGGACAAAGCTGGATGTGTTACTGGGTACCAGTGCAATAGGACAGGAGTGGTACAGACCATCAGTCCTCCACACACAATAGATTCTCTTGCACAAGGACAACCTACTTGTAAATAATGTAAAGCAAGTACCACGTTGCTATGAAAGGAAGCAGGTTGTGTTTGTATGTTGTCTTAAGCAGACACGTGTATGACCTGCAGGCAATGATGTTTTCAGGGAAGCAGTTAGAAGCTCTGGTGCAATAACCACTGCATTAGCTTTGGGAGGAGAAATCCCTTGTGGCACCAGAGACAGAGCTGCTAGCCTTACTGCTGTTCCAAATGAACAGTCTGTTCCAAATTCTCTCTGGAGCCCAAAGAAAAGCTTCTGTTAGCTGTGTTGGGTTTTTCAGTGGTGTCACGACTCAGCAAAGAGAAACACTCAATGAACATCACAGACTAATCAGTGTTCCTTTCCCTCAGCCACTGGCATTTGTCTCCACTGAGCTCTCCAGTCCTTCCAGGCTGCTTCCTGCACAATTTTAGCAGATTGTCCTGTGTATGGATAGGAGAGATCAGTTCATTCCTGTCTTATTGGGAAGGTGGTGCATGCCCAGAGTGGCTGAAGCTTCCTGTCTTATTGGGAAGGTGGTGCATACACAGAGTGGCTGAAGGTGCAGCTGGGAGCAAGTAAGACCTGTGCACTAGTCCTGTTGGCATCTGATTTTCCTAATGATTAAGAATTCTGTAAAATCTTGAGGCCACACTAGCCTGTTGGGGTGTCACAGAATAAAGCAAGGAGCAGATTGCCATCTAATCTATTTGGTTTGAGAACATGACCTAGATTCCAGTACCCATGGCTACATGGAGAGGAGCTTCTTTATTTCTCGTTATTGTATAATCAGTCTCAAAATCATTACACTACACTGGTTCTCATGACATGAAATACCCTCTAAGTGCCTTGGTATGGTGCAGATTCTTTTCTATTTGCATTCTCTGTGAAGTGATGTTAGGTGAAAGCATTGGGGAAAAAGGAATAGAGCTCACAGTCCACAGGCTCAGCTTTGATCCATAGCAAAACTGCTGTTGGGAATGAAGGTTTGAGCTCTTCATTTTCCATCTCTGGGATCCTGGGCAAGTACTACCATAGTAAGTTAGTTCTAGAGGCAAGGGCTGTAGTATGTAGAAGTACTAGAACAATAGGGGTTTTTTTTGGAGTCTTTTTCTCCCTCTCTATGTTCTTTTTTTACTTCCTTATGGAAGCTTAGATCTGCTACTCCATCTCATCACTCCAGCACAGAGGTGTTTTCAATGCTGGGAGGTGAGGACAGTAGAGAATTTCTTTTGCAGTAGGTCACAAATAGAAAATGTAGAGATGTTTATGGTCATCTGTGCACTCTTTCTTTAGCCCTGCTGCTAGCATGGCTCAGCTGCTCTGAAAACAGCAGTTCTCAGGAGGACTCCACAGCTATTACAGTGGTTTCTTTTACAGAAACACATTTGTATAGAAGCTTGTTTATTCTTGTGCTTGCTACAAGCAAAATGGAATTTGTTTAGGTGCATATTCACTTGGTGGAGACTTTCCTGCCAAAATACGCAGTGATCTTTTCCTGTTAGCAAGGAACTTCCTCTTTGAAGAAATTTGCAGTATGTGACACTCATGCAACTGCTTTGATTACTGTCAGCATTACATGTATTGATTGAGAAATGTTTGGTTTTGAAAACCTGATTAAAAAGACACAGGTCTTGGCATTCCAGCCCCTGGCTTTTCACTCCTCCCTTATTTTTGAATAGAGAGGACTATCCATTTGTTCTCCCTTTAGGTTGTTACTCCCCACTAGAGCTGCTACTCCCAAGTGCTACTGAAAAGGAAATACATCTTAGTGAACAGCTCTGACTTCTTTCAGCAGAAGGGTTTGTGGAAGGAGCTCTGGCACGAGCTGGAGAGTGCAGGGATGTATTCCCTCAGCCAGCCATGCAGACAGGCACGCTCCAGTGCTCCAGGATATCAGCTTGTGTACAAGACATGATATGTATGAATATTGCAGGTCCCAGATTTCCAAAAAGTCTCAGATGATGTGTAGCTCCTCCACCTTCCAGGTTAGTTCCAATAACAGGAGGTTTCAAAGATCTGAGAAGCAAGTTGCTTCACCATCTGCTGTGCATAACCAGTGCACTCTGGGCTCAGAGGAAAAATCACTGTGTATCTGGGCAGCAGTTTGCCTGGGGGAAACCAGCCAGCCTAGGGCATGTTGTCTGCTCTCCTGCTCTGCTGGCAGGTCTTAGCATGTTGTCAGTGAGAGGAGCATGAGGAAGAGGGAAGGCAGCAGAACTTTAGGTAAATACAACAGATATGAGATGCATCCATGTTTAATACAATCGTCATCACAAGGTCAAGTAAGTCAGGGTGATAATTGGATCCATAGTAGACTTAGCTAAAGCTCCTTCTCAAATCAACTCAACAGCTGGGCTGGGTTGGATCCAGATAACCAGGTTGGCATCACTAACCCAGGGAGCCTGAGTTTAATAGTGAGGTATCATATGCCATAGCCATCCAGCCACAAGGAAACTGGGATTCACAGTTGCAGAGGATCTTATCATCACAATTCCTTGTTTAAAGTGACATAATGGTTCTGTGGCAGAGCTGTGTGATGGAGACACTGTGAACACTGTGTGCACACAGCAAGGCAGAGCCAAATTCATTCTGGAATCATCAGCAAGGAGTGAAAGTGTATCGAGTAGCCCAGCAGAAATTCTTGTGTCATTAACAGGCAATTTTATACTTCCCCTTTGCATGCATATCCTAAAGAGTTATTAAGACAAAAGCTTCCTTGCCAAGAGCCAAACAGACTTAATTCACTTCAGTATTTGGCCCATTCTAGCCCTGCTAAATCCTCTCCTGATGTTTGCCCATTGTGCATGAAGCTGAGTATGTGCAGTGAACTGTGAGCTTTTACTGTCCAGCATCAAACTGTATTCTCCCCAGTTCTTAAATTTGGGGTTTTTTGCTTTCACTACAAAGAACTGAGCTCCAGGCATCCTTCAGTAATGCGTGGAGGAACAAAATCTGCCAGTCTGCATGGTCTTGGGAGAGCCAGAGAGAAAAGGTGGAAGCAGGTCACGGACAAACAAGCATCCAACAGTCTGTTGTTTTGACCAGAACAAAGAAATAACTGTAATTTTGGAACTACACAGGGAAAAAATGTAGTGTAGAAGGCACTCAGGTGTGGAAGGAACTCAGGTATCCCTGTTTACCCTGTTTCAGAGTCAGAGTTAAGGTGGAGTACCTGGGAATTGCTTCCAGGTCTTCAGGTTTAGATGCATCTAGGGTTCAACATTAACTCTTTCAAACCCTCAGATTCATGGTCCTAGGTCACACCTAGACTCCTGGAAGGCTGAAGGTGGAATAACTTAATTTCCAGGAGCTGCTCAAGGGGGTTATGTGACTACTTTGGATAGTAACAAGTTTTGTTCCATTGTTTATTTCCTGAATGTTATACAAATTCATACACTTGGAATCAACTCTAAAACTTTTCTTCAGCCATCCAGTCTCTGACTGGAGCAACAGAAGGATTCACTGATATTCCACTGATTTGTTTGCCTTTCCTCTTCCTTGCAGGTCTCCACGAAATCCAGTGTTCCCTGCCTGTAGAAAACAGAAGAATCTTTCTGAATGAATTATCTGAGGTCAGCTTTAGTGAATGCAAATTCAGCTTGTCATTGACTGACCTTTTTATCATCATCTTCTCTGGAGTTGCAGTCTCCATTGCTGCTATTCTCTCCAGCTTCTTCCTAGCAACCCTAGTGCACTGCTTCCAAAGATGTGCTCCCAGCAAGGATGACGATGATGATGACGACGACAGTGAGGACTGAACTTAGTCTCTCTCCTTGAGTTTCCTTGGTTTATAAGTTACTAGATCATCAGCCAAAGTCTAGGAAGAAAACGAGTAGAGTAAAAGCTTTAAACATGAGTTAAATGAAATCACAGTGTTTAAGGATCCCTTGGAATCAGTGATGGCCACAGGTAGGAATGGCAGAGCTGAGACTGTCAGATTTGCTTGCACATGTAGCTCGATGCAACCAAACCAGGTCAATGTCTGTGATCCTCAATCAAATAAAAAATCTTTAAATTTGAAGACTGGAAGAAAAAGGGGGGGGGAAAGGCAAAAAAAAGATGAGTTTGGAGTTCCCAGGTTTTCCTGATGAGATGCAGATTCTTACAAGTGCTTAAAGCTTGTTCTAAAAGCACTTTGACATGGCCTGGCTGGAGGTGTTTCAGCTGGAAAACAGGGAAGCAATCCAAAATAGTGTCCCTCCTAGCTGTAAGTTATGGGAGATTCTATTAAACTCGCACAACTTTATAAGAAACAAAGTTCAATGAAAATGATTCCTCGAACTGTAGAAAGCATGAGAGGAAGGTTGGCATTTTCTCCCTACAAATGCTCTCCATAAACATTCAGCCTCCATTTAACGACAGCAGTTGCAGGCACCATTCAACCAAAAAGGCTTTTCTCTAAGTGAAGATGATTCTGGGTCTGAGTCATCCACTGCAGATGCCTGGCACTTCTTTGGTCATGGCACAAATACTAAATATAACATCCTTTTGCATTTTTAGATGCAACCAAGTAAAGGATTTCCCTCGCTGTAATGCTAGGCACCAGTAACTGTTGCAGTATCCAGTCCATTTAGTTATTTTAAAACACTAAGGGCTATATTCTGCTCCTGATTATACCAGAATAACCCAACTGAAATGAACACCAGGATCCAAACTGGAATCTGTATAAACAAGAGTGAAATCTGGCCCAAGATGTTTCTGACTGTATTATAGATTTGTCAAAACTTGAGCTCTTCTATATGAGGGTAGATATTTTTGTTAAAATTTAAAAAAAAAAAAAAGACATTTATTACAAGAGATTTTTGGAATAGTGCTGGACAGCTTTTTAGGATAAGTATATTTTTAAAATATTTGTAATGGAAATATTTTTTTAAAGCTCTGTGTATTTAAATTATTCTCTAGAGTAGCTGTGAGGGCTTAAAGCAATGAACAACATAGTAATGAACAAGCTAAGGACTGTATGCTATTAGAAAATAATTAGAGCTGATAAGAAGTAGCATTTGGTTAACTACTGTAAATGCTATTATTTCTTAAAACAACACTCTGGTTAAAAACCTGCCTTGCTCAGTTGATAGGAAGGGTCTGGTAGGGACAGGTAGTTCCAAATCTCTTGTGTTGTGCAGGCAAACAGGAGGGAATCACTCTGTGTGGTAAGGAGTGACAAAGTCACAGAATCCTAGAATTTAGGAAGGGTTGGAATGGAGCTTACAGATCATCTAGTCCCAACCCCTGCCCTGGGCAGGGACACCTCCCACCAGAGCAGGTTGCTCAAGGCTTTAGCCAACCTGGCTGTGAACACTGCCAGGGTTGGGGCAGCCACAGCCTCCCTGGGCAACCTGGGACAGTGTCTCACCATCCTTACAGTAAAAAACCTTTTACTCACATCCAACCTAGACTTTCCCTCCTTCAGTTTGAACCCATTGCCCCTTGTCCTGCCACTGCAGTTCCTAACACAGAGTCCCTTTCTGGCTCCTTGTAGGCCCTTCAGAGTTTGAAAAGTTGCTCTGTCTGTGCCTCAGTCTCACCAGCCATCAAATGAAGATCACAACTATCTCTTCCAAGTGCTTTGAGATATGTAAGGGAGGCACTGCACTGGGGCTGTTTGCAGTCATCATCTCTAGGCTGACACAGATGTTAGCAGTAGGTCTGATCTGATCCCTCTCTGCCTTCACTGGCATCACTGGAATGACTCCATAGGCTGACAGAGTTGGGTTTGCACCATGCTGAGGTCACAACCAGACAAGAGTGTTTATTTCTGTTAGCTCTACAGCTTCTTCAATGCCACTCACTGCTTCCATTGTCAAGACTATTATTTCTGAAAACACACTGAAACAGAATTAAGTAGGACAGTGAGAGGATATTCTGTGTCAATACTGTCTTATTCTATTCTGCTTCCTTCAAGCAAACTGAAATGACATGATTTTCACTGTGTAGTGCCATGATTATAAATAACACAAATATATTTATAATTTCAACTTGGACTTTCATGTTTATTTGTACATGGGTATGAAAAAGGAGAAAAGACTTATAACCAGGGGTTTGTGGCATGGTTGGAAATACACTGAGTGTTGCCCAGTGCAGTTCCTGAAGCACTCAAATACGGATATGTTATCAACAGTTTTATATTTAGATCTGTGCAAATTGTTCAGCCATGGAACAAGAAACTGGGTCACACTTATTATGGACTCACAACTTGCAACCAGTTAGCAAAATGATCTGTCCTACCAAACTTTGCAATGAGACATCAGTGAGTGTTTCAGCAATGTCTGTCCTCCCTTTGGTAAAGAGTTTATGGGTTTGGTTCATTATCCTGTAAGTAATTTTCTTTACTTTTCATTATCCTGAGTAATTTTGCAGAAGTCACTTACCAAACTCTGAGATTTTCACTGGGTTCTGCTCTTACTTGCAGGTTCATCCTACCATGGTGCCTCAAAATGAAGATCTAGATTTGTTTATAGTTTGTAGCTTTTTGTTCAACCCAACACAAAGCCCTGAAAGCCTTAATTATATGTGGAGCTTAGCACCCCTCAGAGCAGCGAGGAGCAGGCCAAGCTGACACCCACATAGCACAGCACAAGCTGAAGAGCAAAGCTTAGGAAAGCTTTATTTGGGAAGCTGCTATTCTGGATACTCCATCACACCGAGGTGATGTTGCAATGTAGATTTTTTTCGGGATAAGAAACTTTCATGCTATTTTCCTCTGTAATTAATGCATATTTCAGAAGTATTGAACTCCTCCAGTTAGTAGTATTGATTCACTGTAAGCACCACCTGCTATTAATATTGATTTTGCATCATTCTATTTGTTAGCAAATGAGACAGAACTTGGATTTAGTTCCTATTGGGATTTTTCTGATTTCATGGAATCTTCAGGTCAAAACAACCTCCTGTTGGAATATTGGCAGAACTAGTGATCCCCATAATGGTCCTCTG